CATTAAAATGTATTGAATTGAATCCATTTTGTGAGTACTTTTAAACTGTAAACAATGGTTGCTATGGGTGTTGCTATGTTGAAATATAGCTAGAAGTGTTCAGATTTCTTAATTTAAACGTAAATTCAGGAGTAATTAGAGGAAAATCGTTTCAAAATACGACTTACAAATGGACAGGGATGTTTAATCTTCATGTTCCAAAAAAATGGTTTTCTGGAGAAAAATTTATATCTGAGAGTATAAGACCCCCTTAAAGCCTATATTTTGAACAACATGGAGAGTCACATGGCTTCTTGTCGACCTTGGCTTGGACACTTCATGCGTAAAAATGAAGAGGTTTTTGTTGCTTCGGCTGAACAACAATCAGACCAGACTGTCTCAGAGTTAACCTGCAATTTTTTACCTATTATACAAGACACAAATCTACTACTTGATGCAGATCTTTAGTTTTACTGATGAAACTATAATTTTGCATGTTCTTTTAGGACTTTCTAAAAAAACGAACAGATTATGTGGAAACCTTATAAAAACATTAGACAAAATTCCGCTACAAAGCAATGGATTCAGTATAGGATTTTCAAGAACCCTTTCCAACTAAGAAAAACAACATCAGAAAAACAACATATTTAAGAGCTTCTGAACAGCCAATTAATTAAGGCGGGGGTCAACCCAAAAACACCCCATTTTTTCTAACTTTATTCAAGGTTTAGATTTAATTCCAAACCATGGCAAAGTAGACATTTTTAGAAAGCTTAAAGACCAAAAATTAAGAAAATTTGTTTTTGTACTTTAGAACTGTATTGTAACCTGACACTGGCTGATTAAATCTGCCACCTGTTAGGGAATGCCAGGGCTTAGTTGAGAAAAGATGACTCCTACAAGAACTGATCAAAATGAATAATTTTTACATTTTTTAAAAGAAGACAAATAGCTTACTGCTTTAGGCGTAGAGATTTTTGAGAAGTTAAAAACACATGAAATGGTGACCAGTCAAATCTGATACAGAAAATCCAGCATAGACCAGCATACGTTTCAATGCATAACTTCGACAAAATGCACTGGACGGAAAAGTTCTATGCTTAAAGCACAAAGCTTACTTAGAATAACAAATCCTGAAAACTTCAACATAATTGGACAAATCCTTCGTAAAATATCTTTTCTCAAAGGCAAAAATAACTAACTCGTTTTGAGAAAATGAGCTTTGAACTTACAGTAGCAGAAATGTTTCTCAAAATGTCTCCTTTAATACCTTAAGATTCAAATTCCGGTGAAAACAAAAATTCGATATTCTACAGATTTTTTAGGTGTATGCATTAAATTCTCAGTAGAGCTGACTGCGTATATAAGAACCAATTTAGGCCAAAATGGAAAACGCTAGGTTCTGAAATGAAATTGCATCGACGACAATGAAATAGGATTAGAGTAATTCAGTCCAAGAATATATCTGAAGAACCTAAATGGCATAAATTCGCCATGAGATAATGTTTACATTAGAACTATTTTAGGCTAACACGAAACTGATCGAAAATATAAGTTCTTATCAATTAATTGATGTTTACTGTTCGAGGACTTTGTTATAAAAGGATTTGTTATCTTGCCGGACGCTTCAAAAAGACTTAGTTCTCTAGTAATTTTTGTGATTCATACCTGCTTCCTTACTCTCGGAAAGTGCGCCTTATATGATAGTGTTTGCCGGATCGGCTCACTGCTATCCCTAGATCTTATCATGGTTAGGATTGCGTTTAGTTTTTTGGGGATTTCAGTCTGAGTACAACTCTTTATCAAAAGGGTTTCCTGAAACAGATTTTCTCGCAGTTTAGAATTCCATGTCTTCCATTTCAGGAACGGTTCCATTTCAGGAGCGCCGTGAACTTGAAAGCCAGTCAAGTATATAATACGTGACCTTGAAAGTCCTTCCTCAAGAATATAATATATTATATTCTTGAGGAAGGATTTTCAAGGTCACGGTGCGCTGATCTGATTGACGAAGTATAATAGGGCGGTAAAGGCCTGGGCCTGCGTAATGGCCAGTTCCTTCTATGAGTCGCGCGTGCAGGGAATCATGGTAGTTGTATTCATCAAACCAAATACATGCAAATAGAATACGAAATGTCAAGTTCTGCATTAAAATGCATTGGAATACAATGTTTATCACCGTTGTTTGTGTTAAATTCTTAATCAGGCCAATTTCGATTTATTACAATTCTAACTTAGCACCGAGGCTTAGGGGAATAAAACAAAAGAAATCACATTGAGGATGAGGGATGAATAACTAATTTCTATTTTTTATTTCCCCCGCAAGCCTCGGAACCAAGTAGAAATTTTTTACCTACATCCGGTCCAAGATAATGAATACAACTACCATGATTCCCTTCAGGCTTGTCTCATAGCGGGAATAATCATTATTATATATGCACATGTATGCATACCCAATTTATTCAAATAGAGTGCAAGCAATGTTTTGTGCGCCACTTCGTTAGTTATCCGACTGAGTCACATCAGCTTTACGTCTCACTACAAAGGTAAGAATATATTCATTTTCTATCGCCTGAATTGTTATCGTCATGAAACAGAATCTCTCTCTAAAGTGTAGGTGAGATTTTAGAAACTCGTCTATGGGGTAAAGAGAGATATGAAGCTGTGGTCTGTGTTCATGACAACTGTTGCATAACACTCGCACAAAACAATATTCTTTTCGTACAGGGTGAATACGCAAAACAAATCTAATGATCTCTGAGTGTGAGCTGCAGGGAAAGACAGGTCATGAACAGGCTTTTGGTTACTTACTAAAACCGTCGCTTTTTCAGCCACAACTTAAGGCATTTTAGAACTGATGCCGTTCTTGAAAGACTCGTCAACGCATTCAAATCCCGGGGGAGGTACTTTGGGAATTTCTGGGTAGGGATATGCTGCTGGGACCCTGGAACCCTTAGTCTATACCAGAGCTAGTTCAGCTGAATTTTGCTACCCTATACTAGAGTAAACTCCCAAAATCTCCCCATCTATCGACACTGTTGAGGCTGATTTGCGTAAATTTAAATTTGCCGATTTGATTTTTTTATATTTTTGAGTGACAATTCCTGGTTTCCTTAGTCTAGATAAAATCTTCAACCAACTAGTCAGTTTTGTGAAAAATTATACCGTATTCTAGACCCAAACACCCTGATTTATATACCCTATCCTAGAGTAAACTGCTTGAAAACCACACCCTTCACAGCGGCACATACCTATATAGCCCATATATGGTAGTGCCCCCCCCCCCC